TTTATGTTTACTTTTATGATATCTCATTATGCATGCTGTCGTTCCATGATAATAGTTTGTAACAATCATTCGGTTTACATGACGCAAACTTCCTTTGCCTTAACACTAACTACAACTGCTTATAAAGTGAACCGATTTCGCACACTCACACACACACACACACACACACAGACGCACACACAGTTTTTCACACCAGACGTGACCATTTACATGGCTGCCAACGAGTTGGCTGTGCGATATTATTGTTTTTGTTGCTGGGGCTTACCAGTCAAGTTTGTATTATTCCGTGTTTATGCCAAACTCTTGTGGGTCCGCAATTTAGCAAAATAAACTTGGCTACTGTCTTGTTTGCCATGCAGTTTTCCTTCCGTTTCCACAGCCAGGTTGGCGCTGGTGTGTCTGTGTGTGTGTGTGTGTGTGTGCGTGGAGGGCGGTTGCAACTGCAGCTGCACTTTTGAAATGCCAGCGGTGCGTGGGCCGAACGGAAATGCGTCAATGCCAAGGCTGACAAAGGTTATGGGCCACCACAGCATTCCAATCGACATTTTTGGCAATAGCTGGGAGCATTTTTTATGGGTTCTTTTGTCGATTTATGCAGCAGTGTTTTTTTTTTTTGTCTTTTTATAAAGCGCAATTTGTCAGCCCGAACTGCCGGACGATAAAACACAAATCGTTCGACTGGCATACAAAAATTATTTGGATAATGGAGCATAACAAAAACAGATGAGAATGGGTGGGAAAAAAAGGACGACTCCAAGAAATAAACTAACATGGAAAACATATTCGGATTGTTGTTATATCGGAGCGGAGTTGATGACGTGACCAACAAATCGTAAATTCGATAAAGGAAATTAGAAGGGAAAGGCATTCAAATTGAACGACATCGCAAAACAAAATCGAAGCAAAAACAAATGATGCACAGTGGTAAAAAAGTCTAGATTTGAGCTACAAATAAATAAAGAGTTCACCGTTCGAACAAATGTTTTCCCCTTAGATTCGGTTCCCGAACTAGTTTTGCATTAAGAAAGGAACCAGTCAATTCATATCTAAATAATTTTCTGACCAATGTCTAAACTTTGTTGAATTATTTTATATTTTGAAGCAAACCATTCCTTATTTTATTTAAAGTAAAGTTTGCTCCAGCTAAGACTGTGTCTATACTTCATTTACTTGGAGGTTTCATTATTACGGATTTGAACTGGTTCAGTTGGAACCAAATAAAAACAGGGTCGTATTGCATGAAAAATGAGAATCGCAAAGAAGTCTTCGCTATGGTATAAAATTAACCTTAACTTAAGTTAGTTAATTTTTTTTACTGAAGTTTAATTAAAAAAATAATAATAGTTAATAATTATTTTCATTTATATTTTTGAAATATGATATGGGGTTAACCTTAACTTAATTCTTGAATAAAAAATTAAATTATATTTTAATGACTAGTATACTATACTTACTAAGTTTAAGTATTGACGCTGCAACTTATATTCAATACCATTCAAGGCCAAACCATTTGAAAATTCAATCAAAATTCATAGATCAACCACTGTGCGCCCTTTGGAGTGGCTCAAATTCATACTATATATGTATATATATATATGCATATAGCATACATATATATATATATATATGTATGGCATATGTGTGCATGTTTGTGTAGATTTGTGTGTGTGTGCACATTGGAATTTAATTCAGCTATGAAAAGGAAATTTCACACATTCGATTGAGTATAACGACTATGTGGGGAGTATGTGTCTGATTTGAATGGGGCTTTGGCGTGCAAATCGGCACAAGTCTTTATCGAAATTGAAAAGATACAACTTGGACGTCGTATCTGTAATTTGTTGTTTTGTTTGTGTATTTATATCGGTCTCTGTTCGACAAGGGATTTTCGGCAATTTGTGGCAAGCAAAGCCATAAATTGATTAGCTTAAATTTATATATTTCGATTAACGATGCTACGACATAGGTCTAACAAAACAACAAGTCACGTACATTATGAACCAGCTAAATAATTTAACTTTTATCGAATATTAATCATACGCAGCGTGCCACAACCAGTTCAATTGTAAACCAAACAATGTTAATTCCATTGGCGAACAATTGAGAACTAGCAAAACCTAATTTATGCCATGCATCAAAACTTGCTTAGATCAGAAACCATGGCAATTAAAAATTTATTTGTTAAAAAAAAAAGACGCTGACAATGTGAAAATGAAATGCAGCAAGCGTTTAACACTCGGCTGCATAATTAGCCAGAACAGAGCCTGAGCAGAACTTTGACAAGCGGACGGTCGCTGGCAGCTATGAAAAAATTGCGGAAAAACCTAAAGTAAAAGCTGTTCCAAATTTCGCTTTAGCTTTTCAGAAACTGTCAAATTTTCTACAAATATTTATAGTAGAGAAAATATAAGTATAAGTACAAGTAATATAAGTATAATCAGATTTGATCAGCAATTTGTCTCGATAATTTTTCAAAAATCAATTACATAATTTTCTATGCAATTTGAAATGAGGCGGAATTAAGCCATTGACCATAAAACAATTCGCTCTCATTTACCGCGAATATTTTTCAAAATATATGCCCAAATTAATTTCTTAATTAACCTGAAGGCCTAATTCGCACTGGGTTTACTTTTGCATATTTCAATTCAAATAAGCAAATAAATTATAAATGAAATTCAAACGAATTGTATCTTAATTTGTTGATACAGCATTTAAATAAATATCTATTTGGTCACGAGGTGTTTAATGCATGTAGGATGACATTCAACACCCTAATAAGTATATATATATATATATTCTAAAGCCTTATTAAAGGTCAATTTCTGTGCAGCCAATCTGTCAGCCTTCGGGCAATCTTGATAAATGTGGTTCCTCGTTGCAGTCACATTTACTTATAGATATCTTCAATAAAGGCAACCTTTTATGCACGACTTTAGAGTGTCCTCCATCAGGGAGGAAATTCAAAATTTAACGCTCCCCACCGCATCAGCCTGGAATGCCATAGCAACCAATTAGCGATGAACTTGCTCGACAACAGCATGCAAAGCACGCCGACTCAAGTGGAGGCAACCGCTGGAACTACCCCGCCCTATTCCAGACCTGTGCGGGTTAACCAGGCTGTTTACAAACAACTGTTCTGTTTTTGAAAAGAGAACTCAAATTTACTCATTATCGTTATTATCATGGCAAATAAAAGAGAGCCAAAATTGGCTGAGTACTAACTCAAACGAAGCGACAGGAAATCACAGTGAAATATCGAATTAGTTCCGCAAGGGTATTGAATATTCGGTGCTTCGCAGATAAATAATCTGTTTCTTTTGCTTTTTTTCTTTAAATTTTTTATGTTTTTTCCTGCATGACCATTAAAGCCAACTGGTGTTGCAATCATAAACGAATGAAAACTATTTAATTAAAAGCCTGTTGGCTGTAGCACTCACAAAGTGCATTGCATAAAGGACATTCGCATTGCTTTTGGGAACAGTAGAGACAAGGTATAAGGGACACTGGTCGTTAAATTTAACAGCTTTGGTAATTACAAAATGGTTTGCTTACGGTGGCTCAATATATGCGCCGAGCTTAGGTAAGTAGCGGGCGTATTCGTAATAACACACACCTAAAAAGCACACACACACGCATAGACACACACACACACCTACACACACATAGTAACACCTACGGATTGCCTTACAGATTTTATTGAGACATTATCAGGCAAAACAAATGGGGGACAATTTGCAGCTATGGTGCCGACTTTTATGGCCGGCAACATCCACAGAAAGGCGTTACGGAATGGCCAAAGGGGGCGTGGAGCATGAACATAGTTTTGCCCGAAGCTTTTCCATATATATAATAAATTGCGTTGGCAATGTATGCATGAGCGATAACCGTGCGTATACGCAACGTATTCTCGACATTTCGTCGTTTCAGGCCATTCGGCGTGTTTTTGTGCCATTTTTATGGCTCATAACCAACAACATCGGCATGCGAATGACAGATATTTGTTTTGTTGTCTCGATCCGAGCCCACGGCTATGTCAATGACTAGATAAAACTGCAGGCTATTAATACGCCTCGCCTGCCCAATTAATTGAGCTGTAGAATGCAAATTAAATAAAAATCAAAATACCTAATAACTTTGCCCCAATAAACCATATCTATATTTGCCCTGCTTGCCCGGCGACTCATTGGATGGCCTGTTGACACGGACGTAGACCGAAAAAAAAAAATAATAATAATAATAAAACATTAATGAATGTGTGCCGCAGGCAAACAATGTATACCGCTGCTATATTGGTGCTTAAAGGCGGCGGATAAGCGTAGTGTAAGATTGGCAGCATATTTTGCACAAGCAGAAAGCAAGCAACAGCCTGAGTGATGGCCCAAGTGGATGCTAGTCCTACTAGGACCCAGAGCCAGCCCAGGCGACATTTTGTGTTTATTCAAAATAAATTTGAAGCACTTAATAAAATATTAACAGCAAGCTCAAGGAAGGCAACGCCGACAGCCAAGTGACGTTACGTACGGAGAACAGCTTTGAACGTGCTGCAAAAGAGCTGAAAAGTCAAAATTTCAAGTACCTTGACACTGTGTGGGCAAAGAATGTTGATATTTGACACATTGACAGGCATTTCAGAGGGATGCGAGCTTGTTGTTGTATACTGATTGCCCTTTAGAATGAAGCAATTTGTTCAAGATATTACTTAAGCTGCGGCTATTGACACTTTTAGCCTTCATTAAATTGAGCACTGTGTTTAATCACACAAGACAATTTAAATTTAGCGCTTTATTTAGCAGCGGCATTTCGATAAATGATAGTTATCGATTCATATGACTGTTAGTTAACATCAACACTGAGAGAATGCAGTAAAAGCTAAATGTACATCATGTTTCAATGATCTTAAATTCATAATGGACAAACGGTATGCATACATATATCAAATGTATATACATACCAAATGGAAATAATGTGCCTCCATTTGAAAAATAAAAAAAAACTAATTAAAATTAAACACTTACATATGTATTGTGATTACAAATATACAGATGCCTGTTGCTCATTCCATTTTTTCTTTACATTCATTCGTGTCATTATCTTGATTATTGCTCTCGGCGATTTCGCCATTTAATCTTTTTAGCTTTCTCGCCTCAGATACAGCCTTATAGACACGATTTTTGGCTTTCTGAAAAGCCATGCGAGCATCCTTTCTATAATCATCAAACGTATAACCTTCCGTTCTCTGAGACTCTGTAGAAAAGCGCATGTGCTAGCATATTAAACAATACTTAAAAATGGAACACAATACTTATTACTTACCATATAACGCTGTGTTCAGGTTAATATAACTGCTTAAACCAGCTTTCGAACTGTGCCCTCCGTAGTTCATCTCCATCAACAGCTTCTGATCAATGATGCGACCAATATTTTTAACGATTCCACTTGGACTTAGCAGATTTTTAAATAGCTCTGTCTGAAAGTTAAGTAAAACTGGATTAGTATAAAAAATAGAAAGTTGCACACATATTACGCACATATTTCTCCATATCGTTAGCTATTTTCAGATCAATTGCTTCCAATGCTTCCTTATGCTTTACGGGAAAATCGTTTGGTTTTGTCACCGACTTCATGTTTTCACATATTTTATCAACTCGTGCTAATATTTTTGTATTTATATTAAGCAGGAAATCCACTTTGCGCTCGAGGCTGCTCAAACGATCGTTGAAATTGTGATGTTCATTTGGACCCATGTCCATCGGATACAAACGCTGCATTTTTTGCTGTTCATCAACCAAATCTTGACTGTCAACCATACCGAATATATCATCGTCTGGCGTTGGCAACATATCAGGACATATTACTTCATCCTTCACGGAAATGTTCATGTCAATGCCGAGTGGATCATCAAAGCCAATAAATTCCTTCTTTGCCTTTTCCGCCGAACGGCGGGCATTGCGGCCGCGGCCACTCATACTTTGGCTCTTAAAATATACGTTGCCTTCCTTTTGAAAGGAAATATTTGATCTAAATGTTAATGAGGAATGTTTATAACCAATTCTGCCAATTCATGGTCAAGATATAAGCACTTACAATGTGATGCGATTTGAGACCCAAGTCTCACTTGGTTTGGCCCGCAGTGGCTTCCTATGTGAATGATGTCCTTTCTGACGTTTCCTTAGTTTTATTTTTTGCATGTCGTATTAGCAAATTATTGTTAAATTTTGTCTATAAACAAGAGACTTACTGACGACAGATGCCTCAGGCTGCCCCAACATGATGCATTATTTGGCATTGTACGATGCTTCTACTGTTAGAGTATGCATTTAAAGCTATCAACAAGTTGTATGGGTCTATTTGTACACAATTTATCAGTTTTTTAAATGTATTGTATAAATAATTAAAATTGTTTGCGCGTATTTTGTATTGCCGAGGTTTACAGCTGTTGCCAGTCGTCCGATAGATTGCGGCGGCTGGTCGATATTTCTTAATCAGATTTTCTGTACGATGGTCTGGTCACACTTGTGAAAATGATGTCCGCACGTTTATATTCTACCTGTCGTTTATTTTCAACAAATTTTCCAATAAATGCTGTAACCAAGAACGCCGTGGGTGGAAAAACACTTGTTGACAGTGTGGCAGTGACCAGAAATGGCAAAACAATTGTTGCCTGGCATCCAGACACTCCGTTCCCCTACGAGCATACAAAACCTCTGCCAACGATTGTCGAGAACCAAACATCCGAAGTAATTAAGGAGGCTGCGCTGAAAACGGCAATGAATGCGTTTAAAAACAAACATCCAGAGGTGGCACGCCAGGAGCTAATGAGGTTGACACATACTACAAAGCATCGTTGGTTCCCGCGGGCACGTGACAAGAAGGCCAAAAAGACGCCCATGGACCGGCCTTACTTATAAATACAAGATTACATAAGCGCGCTTTATAGGCAATAAAATTATGTTTATAAATTAAACGTACTTTGGTCTTTTTAATAAAAATAGGCTTAACAAAACACACTGCCGGCTTGTATTTACACATTCTGTCACATATTACCCATTTTAACAGTGAATATCTTATTAAAAACATGAGTAAATAAAACAAAAACAAGAACAGCTGTTTGCGAGCATTTTCTAATTGCTTCATTAACAGTACCAATTTGAGTTTAACAGCCACGGGACGATACCATAAAAACCAATTGGGTATTGGAAATGTAGCATAAGGAGCGAACGCATATTCAAATTTCAATAATTCTATCCCTTTACCGCAATCGAAAAAAATTTTCTATTGGAAACTTAAAGTTAATTGGGCCTTATAATAATATATGTGGGTCAATAAGAAAAATCTTTGGTATTTTCTTAAATAAGTGTCCTAAACAGTCCCAAGTCTCAGCGAAATAGACAAAAACAATGTAAAACTGCTATGTTCATGGTTCGAACCAGAACATGGCTGGTTATAAGGTTCTCTAGCAGAATCATCGATGTAGAACACAAAAATATACCTGACCACTTTTAAAATTAACATGTGGCTTACAATCAAATGCCACTGTATTTCTAAAATTCTGTTATTTTAACATTCTGCTAAAGTTTTGTCAAACTTCTCTGACATTTTTTGTCTCGTCTCTTCGCTTATTCTCATTATAGCTGTAACTTTCAAAGCAAGTGGACGTGTGACGGAAATTTAAATCAAATAAGTGGAAGTGGAGAGCAAAGAAAGTTGTGTGAATAGAAAAATCACAAAAGTGCAGTGCATTGCTGGTGCTGTATGAGTCTGTGTGTGTGTATATGCATGTCTATTAAGGAAGAAGAGAGAGCGAGTAAGGGGATTGCTGCGATTTAAATTGACTGAATCTGACATTTTTGACGAAGCGAGAAGGAAAGAAAAATACATAAATAGAGCGTGCAGCATAGCGAAAATATGTCCACCGTAGAATCTTCAAGTTCGGCGGTGCAACAGCCACCCTCATCCACATTGCCAATGTTGGGCGACAACCAGGTGTCCACCATGCAAATTCAAATTCAAGCCTCAACATCTTCGGCGGGAGGTAGTAGTAGCATGTCGTTGGGCGTACCGTTAGATACGCAGAGTAGCGGTGAGCCTCCAGCTAAGAAGCAAATGCTTGATCCGAGTGCAGCTTCCTCCTCGTCGGGCATGTCCGGCGGAGGGGGCGGTGGTCCAGCTGGAACTGGATCCGGAACGCACGAGAAGCTTGCCTATCGCATCTCTACTGCGCTTTGCTGTGCCGTGTGCTTGGATTTGCCAAAAACGGCCATGTATCAGGTGAGACAATTGATGCAACTAGGCACATGAGTTTTGATTAATTTAAAAAAAAAAAATACGAAAAAAGTAATATATATGTGCACAAAGAGGCAAATGCAATAGCAAGCATTTGTGTGTGTATGTACATACGTGCTCTTTGTGCGTGTGTGTGTATTTGTGACATTTCTCTGTATACAAAACAAATCGAGCAAAAGCAATCGCAAACTCAGCTGTAAGTAGCCACTCCCTCGCCGCGCACCGCAACCGCCCTGTTAAGCGCAGCGCACACAGCTGGAGTCGCTAGTAACAGCGAGAGAGTGGTGCGCCCCAAAAACAGTAAAAAGGAACAAGAAAAAACGGTGTATATTTTTTGTTTGCCTATGGTAACTTGCAAATGCCCATTGCGTTTGCCTTGAAAATGACAATGCCAGGCACTTGCGGCATTTGTTCCCCTACCTCTCTACAGCTCACCCATTGATCGTTTTTGTAAGTATGTATATACAGCGCACTCGCTCGCACGCATTGCTGTTACATAGCATGCAGTTCTCGCCATGCTGGTGCACTTTTATTGCGTTTTAGGCGAGCGACCAAAGCAACCCTGCTCAAATTCAATGCTCACCCCACTGACCCCCACCTTACTACTATTTGCGCAGTTACATTTACTGTAACACTCTTTTACAGTTGCATGCATACTTGGCCTTTTTCCGCTGTTGCGTCATAAGTTTTATACATATGAATGTCGGAAATTCTTAATATGCAAATTTTATTTATGTACATCTGTATATTTGCATAAATAAATGTATACACATATATTTGTATGTAAGAAATATATCGCAATCATGCGTTATTTACATATTGTGAAATAGAAGCCGTTATGTATTCTTTTTGTTCGTGGCCTATTTTTAGCTGCGTTGCCCGTGCGACCTCCGCGGCGGCGCCATTGCCGTCGTTGTTTCTACCAGCCCCGCCCACAATCAAAAAATAAAAATGCTAACAACGCAACGTCAGTATTGGTTTGCTCTGTTCCCACACATACATACATACATACATAAGCATTCGAAAAGCTAATTGTCTGTCTGCCCGTCTGCAATTTCCTCTTTCATTCAATTCGCCTTTAAGCCACATACATACATATGTACATACATAAACGAACACATATGTACTATAATCACATAAACATTTTTTCTATCATTCATTGATGCAGGCGTCCGTCATTTTGGTTTCTTAATTCGTCAGCTTTATTTGACAATTTAATAAATAATTGTGCCAATTTATAAACAATCAACGCTTACGTAATAACTTAGTATATGTGTGTGCATATAGACGCTTTCAACAAATTAATACATACATATGTACATATATGTATATATACTTAAATACGTACATATCGTTATTCTTGTTGATTTCTGGGTTTGCTTTTCTAAGCCTTTTCGCCTCTTTCAATAGTGCTGCGTTGTCTATGGTTTATTTTGTTTCTCTCTCTTTCGCTGCTGTGCCCCTGTCTCAGCAAACACACATACACACACGAAAACAGTCATAAATATAACTGCGTCATTGCTTTGACCCAGCAAGAAAACATACATACATACATATTTACGTATGAGTGCGTTGTGATGTGTGCATTATCTTAGAACAAAATTTCAATATCAATGATAAATTATTTATAAACTGATTAAATAGTTAGTTTTTGCATATTCATATTGTTAAACAGTAATTCATGCATTAATACTAACCCGCACACACACACACCAGCTCTTTTTCACTCTCGTTTAATCATATTCACGCTCTCTGTTATTGTTTTGCTTTTGCTGGCATTTGTTGTTCTTCTCTGTGCCTTTTTCGACATTCGTATTGTCCTGCTCACACTCGCACACGCTGCGCGTATCGTAATATAGTCAGCTGTTCGTGGGCAAAGAAAAATGAAAAAAAAAAAACTACGCACTTTACAAGTTTTCTGCGTATTTATGTTATATCAATTGTCGCGATTAATACAGTATGTGGGTATGAATATATGCTGAGGGGAATGGAAGAGCAGCATTACATATAAACATTTTTAGTAAATGCACAGGTTGTTTGTTATTGTTGTTATTTGCAGTGACCCGTAATCTAAGACAAACTTGTTTTACCAGTTTCTGAGCCAATACCTGAAATCTGTAAACTCTAACGTATGTGTGCGTTTCCTTTTACCTACGCTACGTTGTCGTTCCTCTCCTCTCCTCTCCTCTCCACCAGCCGCCGTTCTCTTTCTGCTGCTACGCTGTTGACAGAGCCACTCACACACATACATAGACACACACGTATACAGGCGTATCTACCAAAACATCATCAGCTGGGTTTTGTTATGTCTGCCGCACGAGCGTGTCAAAAAGGGGAGCAAAAGTTGAGCAAACGAACGACACGAATATACCCGGGTAGGGAAAACGAGAGAGAGTTAACCAACAAATGGATATGTTATGACTAAAACTAGTTGAACATCTTTTTAAGGTTTGTTTCAAACAATTGTCACAGCTGCCTAACGCATACTGTAGGTCATAGATACCGATTGCTTTGGATTAATTTTAAATGCTGGAGCAATATTTGGAAGTTCATTCAACTTGAGAGAATGGGAAATGGGAAAGCAACGGGAGCTGGGGTGCAGCAAAAATGTTGTCCCACTCACACACGCACATTAACAGATCTAGCCGGAGAAGCCGGACAACGAAATAAAAGACAAATAAATAGACAAACGTGCTCTTATCTCTTGAATAGAAAGATATCTACATACAGTTGAACGTGCATGCATGTATACATATATATATATATATATATGTATTGCATTGGGCATATCGCACGCCGCACTCGCTCCGTAAATAGAAATTCCAAAAATGCAGGCAGAGAACCGAACGTCAACGGCAGCAGCCTAAATATGCGTTTTTATCACGCTCTGATACGATAATTGACAAAACGTCGCGTCTCGTCGCCCGCATTCTTTGCCAATACAAAAATAATCTTATAATGGAAATTACCAGCGGGGCTGCCAGACCTGACCTTTTACGGTCATGTCTTGTGATTCTCACTTTCCGACTGATCCCCGGAAATTGAATGGAACACTATCCTGTCTACTCCTGCTACAGTTTTATCAGTTGATACCGAACTATTCGTTTCACATACATTTTAAATAACAATTGGCAGATAAAAATAATTTAACAAAAAAAAAAAAAATATACGCGAA